CCTGGCACGCCGTGGCACTGCGAGGGACAACGTGGCGGCCGAGGAAGAAGGGTGCCAACTTGACTCTGGCTCTGCGGCCCTTTTGCCCCTCTCGACCAAGGTCATTGCTGCGCCTGTATGGAGAGAGGGACGGAGGAGAGAGAGAGGGGGAGGGAGCGAAATAGAGAGAGAGAAAAAAAGGAGAGAATGAGAGAGAGAGATGGGAGCGAAATAGAGAGAGAGAGAGGCATCAGTAATATAGTGTGTTCCAATTTTCATTACCCGTTTCAAAGAGGAAACTTGAGGAGACGCCGAGATTTTTTGATCCCATCGTCTTAATATCCAAGGGCATGTTTTATTCATGTATGATAAACTGCTCATTCCGACATGAGCCGTTTCTGTAAAATGTTTTCAAAGAAAATATATTGTGTTTTGAGAGGCAGGTGGCCAAGAGGAGAGGGAAAGGGGGAGGTTGGAGAGGGAGGGAGAGACGGGAAAGGGTGAGAGGGGAGGGAGAGAGACGGAAAAGGGGAGAGGGAGAAAGAAGAGAGAGCGTAGGGAAGGGCAGGGAGGGAGAAAGGGAGGGTTGTGACTATCTTTAACTGGCGGAATCGCACGTAAAAATTCACTGAAAATACTAGAATGTTTACGAGACTTCTCTTGAAAAATAAAACGGTGACAAGTGACTGTTAGTTTGTCTTCCTTATAGTTCCGTGTCTGTCTTACTAGGCAACATCATTTTTCCTGTCATCACACTCTCGGCACCACTTAGGAAGTATGTGTATGTGCCTACGTGTGCGTGTGTGTGTCTGTGTGCTTGTGGGTCAGCGTGCATATGTGTGTGTGTGTGTGTGTGTGTGTTTGTGTGTCAGCGTGCCTGTGTTTGTGTGTGTGTTTGTCTATCTGTCTCTCTGTCTATATCTTTATCTGTATGTGTGTCTTTGTGTGTGTTTATGTCTGCATATGTATCTGCACGTGTGTGTGTCTGTATCTGTATCTGTATCCGCGTGTGTGTGTATATGTATCTGCATGTGTGTGTGTGTGTGTGTGTGTGTGTGTGTGTGTGTGTCTGTATCTGTATCTGTATCCGCGTGTGTGTGTCTGTATATGTATCTGTATGTGCGGCACTTTTATTCGGTGACTTATTTTCTGATATGCAATGTAATCGTGCATAATACAAGCATGAAAAAGCACATATCAAGTTATTTACGCATTGCAGTCATAATGTTACTGTTGTTATTGTGAATCCCTGTAGTAAATAGTGTGGCATTGTTATTATCACAGATGTTTTATATGTATTTTGTTTTATTGCTAGACATTGCGTGGCTATATATAACCCAATTTATTGTGCATGAAAATAATGATTGTAACCCATACCGTGCTTCATTGATGACTAACGGCTGCAAGAATTAACATCAGTTTTCCATGAAGGAATGCGGGATTGTTAGAAGGCATGGTTTTTGTGATACTTTATTTTTCTCTTTTCCTCCCTTCATTATTTGCCTTTCCCTATTTTTCTTGTTCGTTTATTTTCTGCTCTGGCTATTTTCCTCAGCCCTTACTTCCTGATTTCCACATTCCTGTCTCCGTTTTTTTCTTGTTTTATCTCTATTCCCCCTCTTACTTCTTCACGACTCTCCCCTTCTCCCTCTTCTCCCTCCAGTCGACGCAAAAAAGACTAACAAAAACTGCGTCTTTCTTCATCGCATTCTCTTTCGCCTTTTTTCTTCTTATCGCTTATCTCATTCCCCTTCGCATCGCGCTCTTTAACCTCTGTAAAAGGTGCATAATAATAAGCCTCTCTTTTCTCACGCTCTCTCTCTCTCTCTCTCTCTCTCTCTCTCTCTCTCTCTCTCTCTCTCTCTCTCTCTCTCTCTCTCTCTCTTCTCTTCCTCTCTCTCTTCTCCTCCTCTCTGATCTCTCTCTCTCTCTTCTATCTCTCTGTCTCCTCTCCTCTCTAATCCCTGTGCATCTCAATCCCTGTTCCTTCCCCTGTGCTGCGGTGGCGGGCTACGGCAACTAACGCTGTGTTTCTCTTCTGGTTCTCATTGCAGCCCTCTTGGCAGGCACCCTCAGGACCCTCCAGCGGCACGCGTGCGACGGCACCGCCCTCACGCTGCAGTGCCCCGTCAACACCACCATCGACGTGCTCTACGCCAAGTACGGGCGGCCGCGGCAGGAGGCCGAGCAGCTCGACCTGTGCCCGCCGCTGCCGCACCACGCGCGCCCCGCGCCCAAGCGCCACTGCGAGTACTCGTCCACCGTCGACGTGAGTCGCGCCCGCGCAAGGGCGCTGTGTGTCAATAGACGTGCATGCATGCATACGTATTAGACATACATGCATAAATACATATTATACAAACGTACATGCATACATATACAAACAAAATACATACATACATACACACACACACACACACACACACACACACACACACACACACACACACACACACACACACACACACACACACACACACACACATATATATGCAAAATTATATATATAATAATTATATATGTATGTGTGCATATGACTATGTATTTAAAGATAGGAAATATGCATAGGTAGTACCAAAAACAAGTAAATAAGTAAAGTGATACGTGAATATGCAGTTCGAAATAAAATGTATAATCACACATGCAGATTTACTTCAGCGAAAGGTACTCAGGGCAGGCGACCCTCGAGGTGAAGGTACTTAACACAGTAAGCCCCAATCCGTCTTGCTGGAAAATCCTAGTTGGCAACTTCCGAGCTAATCCCCGCCTTTCCGTCTTTCTCCATTGCATTTTTTTTTTTTTTCTTGGCTGATGTTCTTTCTCTTTTCATAATTGTTGTTATTTAATCGTTTTTGTAGGAAAATGCACTGAAAAAAGACATGAAATATCGCTCAGATTGACAGGGCAAAAAGGGGGTGGAGCTAATGACGTCATCACGGTCAGCCAATAAGAGATCAGATACAGATAGATACATAATTACTTGCACAATCTTCTCGATATTATCATAATCACCAAAAGTAGAACCAAAATTCCCCCTTTTTGGTAACCAAGCCATCAGAATTTTCTTGGCAAAAAGACATTTTCATTTTTGTGTTCACTCAGGCTAAATGGAAGGGGAGCTACCTGATTACATGTACCTTGCTCTAAGTAAAGCCAAGGGCCTTGCGGAACAGGCAGTCGCCAGATATGTTGCATCATGGAGTGAAATGAAACCTCTGTTATGAATAGTACTATTGTGAATTCTGCTAGCAAGGGAATGTTATATTTGTCACATTATTGTTGTTATTGCTATTATTAATATTGTTGTTTTTGTTTTTGTTATCATTACTATTATTATCATCTTTAGTATTATGATGATTGCTATTAACCATTATCATCATCATGGCCATCACTCTCTTCGTCATTATCCTCGTCTATCCTTCCATCGGCTTCATTAAAACCCAAAGCCCAAATGATCCTCATGGTGGGCGTGTCCGGACCGCAGAAAGCCTGGCGGAGAGGTCGGGTCGCCATCCCCGCGCCTCATCACCTGCCGACTTTATTAACCGACGCTCTGCCCGGTAAACAGAATGCACCGGCGATTGACACGTGCGCAGAGGATTGCGTCATCGCTCGTTATCTCTCTCTTTTTATTTATTTATTTCTCTCTCTCGCTCTCTTTATTTATTTAATTTCTCTCTCTCGCTCTCTCTCTTTTATTTAGTCTCTCTCTCTCTCTCTCTCTCTCTCTCTCTCTCTCTCTCTCTCTCTCTCTCTCTCTCTCTCTCTCTCTCTCTCTCTCTCTCTTAGGACAAGACATGAATTCGCAACTCATAGGGCTGTCGCTCTGTGTTGCAAAAAATGTGGGTGGCTGTTGCAAAAGAGGTGTCGTTGACTGACGAATGGAGGAAGAACGTGCTCATCAGCTTGTGCGTTTGGTTCTGCTTATTAGGTTCGGTGTGCGGTCAGTAAGGTCGTTCTTACTAATGGTTTATATAGCAATTCTGACTTAATAGGTTTAGACGTTCTTAAGCATGCGCATCCGTAATATAAAATAATGATTGCCTTAGTCATCGATAGTTAAACGAAAATAGATAAGACGTGAAGTATAGAATAACACTGTAATCAAGAAAGAAATTCAAAAGCGAAGGGCCAAGGCTGCCTTTAGTATTGTCGTTCGTCGCGTATGATTGTAAGTGGTAAGTGGTAAGGGAAAATCCCCTGGAATTCCGAATTCTCTGTCTCACAAGAATGATTATTAGTCTTAAAGAAAAACCCGAAGGCTGCTGTTTTGCGATGTAGTTTTCATTTGGGAGCGAGTCTTGTGTTTCACTCTGCATCCAAAATGCATTCCTTGACGGACACGGTGTTTTTTTTCTCTCTCTCTCTCTATCTATCTCTTTCTCTCTGGCTTCTCTCTCTCTCTCTCTCTCTCTCCTCTCTCTCTCTCTCTCTTCTCTCTCTTCTCTCTCTCTCTCTCTCTCTTCTCTCTCTCTCTCTCTCTCTCTCTCTCTCTCTCTATGATTTCAACCCTCCCCCTGCCCCCTTCCCCACGTCATGCCCCTAGGGACGATGACGCAGCAGCCGAGCCTCGAGGGGCGTCGCGCGCGCCCGAACCCGAGCGGCTGGCGAGCGTGCAGGCGGGGGGCGGGAGGAGCTGGCGGACGTGCCTGCGTTTGTGTGCGGGTATCGACGGCTCTCGGGCTTGGTATGGCGTGTCTTTTCTCATTTTGGGATCGATTTATTTGTTATTATTTTTGTTGTTGTGTAATTTTGTTATTACGTTAGTTGATCAGAGAGAGAGGGAGGGAGGGAGAGGAAAGGAAGAGAGAGAGAGAGAAAGAGAGAAAGAGAGAGAGAGAGAGAGAGAGAGAGAGAGAGAGAGAGAGAGAGAGAGAGAGAGAGAGAGAGAGAGAGAGAGAGAGAGAGATTTACGGAAGCTCGTCTGCATAAATGCATAAAAGTGAAAATAAATAAAACATAATCGAATCTACCCAAAACCCACTAAGAGAGCGGCCGAAAAAATCCCAGAAATCCAGGACATCGAAAATGGAACAAAAAGTAGAATCAAAAGAAAATATTTGAAAAAAAGTAGATTGGAATAAAGAAGCCTTTAAGAAAACAGTTTATAAATAAACATAATGCTAGAATAGAAAGAAAGGAAAAGAAAAAAGAAAGAGGAATATTATATATATATATATATATATATATATATATATATATATATATATATATATATATATATATATATATATAATATATGGAAGGTTTACTTGTATTTAAAAGGCGTTAGGGGAATGAGTAGTAGAGATTTTTTTTGTGTTAAAATTAGACCTCATTAGAAGAGGAATGTTTAGCCATTAACAAAGCAAACAAGGCGGAGGGCCGTTGTCGCCGGGACTTTGGGAGCCGCGCTGACCCTCTGTGGAATAGGGTGTGAAGGAGGGATCGAGGAATGGTGGGAGACTTATTGACGAAGAGACGGAATTGTTCAGGAATGATGAATTAGATAAAGTATGTATAAATTAGATATAATTAGGTGAAGTTTATATGAATTAGATATAATTAGATAAAGCATATATAAATTAGATATAATTTGATACAGTATATATAATTAAAGTAGAAAGTATATATAGATTAGATAGATTAGTGATAAAGATAACGGTGAAAGGGATACTATTAGTAATGAAGGTATTATAGATAGATAGATAGATAGATGGTTAAGATGGGATAGATTATCTGTTGTGTATTATTATTATCTGTGGATGTAATGCAGATGGCTATTATTGTTTAAAGTTTGTTCAATTTTCGCTGGTCTGTAGACTTTTAGCCTTGAATGTTGTGCTTGTAATCGAGGGGAAAATGATTGGCCCATTGGCAGCGGGAAAGCCAGTTCTTTTGTTGTACTGCTGGACATTTATTGAAATAATGATGGTGGTGACTGCACTTTGCAATTAGTACTGGTATTAATGGCAGTTTATATTGCAGTTGTTGGGGCGTTTTCCACGAGATTAGAGTCGAATTATGTTAAAGTGGAATTGTCTTTTTGAGGTAAAAGATACTGAAAACGGAATGCGTGAAGGGAGTTAGTGTTCAGCCTCTCCGACAGATGGCATCGCGCGGTTGGTGATGAGGTTCGTTCGTTGGGATCAGCTCATTCATAAGCGCATTTATGAATGAATTGTGTGGCGTAAATAAACAGCGTAATCGCCGAGTCGCTTTAGGATTTCGTTTTCATCCAGGCGAATTAAATACTGAAATTGGGTCAATGGAAGGAATCAAAAAATGGAATTGGGTCAATGGAAGGAACAAAAAAATGAAATTAGGTCAATGGAAGGAATCTGATAAATGAAAATGGGTCAGTAGGAGGAATCAGAAATCACAATTACATTACATCGCATCACATACACCACACCATCTCACAGAAGTCGAGGCACTAACCACATTCTTCCCAAAGTGTAAATACCCCCGCACTGACGTTCCCCCTCCCTCCCCCGCCCCCAGTACAACACCCTGCAGCGCGTGGTGGGCGAGTGCCACCACAAGAACCAGTGCCGGATCCAGGTGTCCCCCGAGACCTTCAGCGACCACGACCCTTGCCCCGAGATCCGAAAGTACATCGAGGTCGCCTACAAGTGCCGCCCGGGTGAGTCTCGCGCGCCTCGTCGGGAGAGCACCTGCTGGAGGGACGCCCCTGGGGGTCTCGTCAGCTGGTCATCCCCGAAAGAGGCCGGATTTTTCTTCTTCTTTTTCTTAAAACATTGTGTACTTATTTATTATATTCGGTTTATACATGTTTGTTTTTTTCCTTGCCTTGGATCATTGGGGCAACGAAGCCACAATGCCCTCTAGAATCTAACGGCCGAAAGAATGAAAAACTAACGCCTTGTCCCTCACTCTTGCAGAGAGATTTATCAACAAGATCGTGTGCGAGGGAGGCGAACTCACCCTGAAGTGCGGCAAGAACTCCCGGCTGGCGATCTACAGCGTGCTGTTCGGCCGAAGCAAAGAGGGCTCCTACATGTGCCCCCAGCCGGCGGGCGTCCCGGAGGAAGGTCGGTGGTGTGTGTGTGTGTGTGTGTGTGTGTGTGTGTGTGTGTGTGTGTGTGTGTTGTGTGTGTGTGTGTGTGTGTGTGTGTGTGTTGTGTGTGTGTGTATGTGTGCATTTTTGTTAGTAACTTTTTCCTCGTTCCCAATGTTAATCCGCGGGTATCCATTATTGACTGAATATTTGATGCAAATATTTCCAGTGGTTTGGCCTCGGTAGCACTCCGAAGCGACCGTTCCCACAAGCGCCCTCCTTCAGCGAGCCTCTTCGTTTCAGACTGCCAGGCGAGCTTCGCGACGGAGATGGTGATGTCTCAGTGCCACGGCAAGAGGCAGTGCGAGCTCCACGCCAACTCCAGCATGTACGGGAAGCCCTGTTCGCCCGAATCGAGGATGTACATGAAGACGGTGTACACTTGTGGTAAGTTCACTCTACGGTTATTCTTGAGGTACAAGTGATAAACACGTTATTTGATTTGCGATTTCCCAAAGTAGGGGCTTATGGGTATCACTAACGCCTCCATAATCCCTGTAGTACCGCGGAAGATACTGAAGGAGCCGTACCAGGGGGAGCTGGAGCCCGACGAGCAGCCCGAGGAGATCCCGGAGGAGAGCAGCATGATGTCCCCGCCCGCCATGCCCCCCGTGCGGCGGCCGGACCCCCCGCCGCCGCAGTCCTCGACCTCCTACCCGCACGAAACGAAAACGACGACCGTCTTCTACAACCCCACCGTCACGACCAAGCTTCCTGAGAAGAAGGGTGAGGGAGCAGGTGTTGCTTTCGAAGGGCGTCTAATGTGGGGTCACTCGTTTTTAGTTCTTGTGTGTCTCTGAACTGACGGGCAGCTGGCACTGCTACGGCCATTGTGATCGTAGTCGCCCCGTTATTATTACCAAGCAAAAATGCAAATTTCACTTCGGCCTCTTTGCGCAGTTGAGCTCACGTACTGACGGCTTGCCCGTCGCTCAGTCCAAAGTCCCTTTTAACCCAAAACGCGTCCCTAAAGAGCCCGTCCCTTGCAGGAGACAACGGCGTGAGAGACTACCCCCAGGACGGCGTCCCTCGGAGCCAGCCGGACCTCATCAACTGCACCGTGACCATCCTCTCCGGCTCCAAGAACCGGGAGATCGGCTTCCTCACGGAGTGGATGAGGGCGGTCGCCTTTATCAAAAGTACGGAGGCAAAGGCTTGGGTTTGGGAAGGTCGCCGAAACCTTTGCAGTTTGTGTCACTGGGGTCCTAGTGTGCAGTGCATTGTATTTATGGCGAAGTATTTTTGCTGTGAGGGATAAATTACATGTTATATTTGTTAATTGATGAGTTCCTTGATGATTGAAGAATAACGTTCATTATAGGGTAATTTGAGAGAATCTCTCTTTTCAGAAAATTTCGAGAAATTCATTTTGTACTTGATGGTTGGACTGTGTGTGGGTCTGCTGCTCTTCCTGTTCGTGGTCGTGGGTCGTCTGCTCCTGGAGAGACATCTGGCCAAGCGAGAGGCCAAGAATGTCAACGACCCGCTCACCTCTGTTTTCGCAACAGGTAATTATTCACCACAGAGTCTGAGGAACAAATGCATTACCGTCCATAGATTTAGAGAACCGCCCGTGCCCAGAGCGCACGAACCCCCGACCAACCGTTGCCGCTTCTTTGCAGACATCGACGACATCGACGGCGACCTGGACCGGTCGGCGCCCCACGGCTCGTACCTGTGCTTCTCGCCGTCGGCCCAGGAGCCGCAGCACGACGTCGTCCGCTACACCACCATCAGATCGGGCATCAGACAGCAGGACAGCGACACCAATCCACGGAGCTTAAGCAGAACAAATAACAACCAGTTATTTTATAGTTAGTTGTCAGTAGACGGCTTTTTGTAGCTTTACATTCTGTACAGTATAGTAATTCTTAAAGTTATTTATACAACACTGATGTATAGATAATTGTACATATTGCTAAAATATTGCTTTTCACAAGTTATGTTGTCTTTTTTTCTTTGCTCAGTGTGTTTGTGTGTACTTAATCCAAGCAAATTGTTCTGACAATATAATAAAACCAAAATGTGTATCGTGCTAGTTCTGTGACTATGTAAATACGAAGAGCATAGAGGAACATTTGGGCAACAGGAAGAGACGGGCTTCAGGTAGACTGTGTGTGAAGGTCGGAGAGCTCACGAGACGGAAAATGTGCTCTGTGTTGGCCAAGCTCGATGGAAGCTCGGAAATAACGTACTAGCCAAACAACAGTGTTGAATTGTGGTGATAATTGATGTGACGTTTGGAAAAAAATAGTTTTGTAAATGAGATACGAAAATGATGTTCAGAAACACCATACTCTTTGCCTGTATATTTTCTATCATGATTAGGAATTTTAAGTTTGAAAAAACAGTTCATAAGGTACTGAATTTTGATATGATTTGCCTAGAAATGTGTTTTTAAAAATATGTGACTGCATCTTACTGTCATAAAAATCCTGATGTGTTCCGTAATCCTTTTTGTATGTTGCAAAGAGCATTCTGTTCAGTTGACTCGCTCGATGCACAGGAAACAGTGTCTGGGTGGTACTGGAAGGCTGACGAAGGATAAAGCCAGTGATCGAAGGTCCTCCTGAAGTATTTTTTCTTTATTTGTGTCATACTGCAGGGATACTTTTGCCAACAAATGCCCAAGCCACGGGGTGGAAAAAGTGGAGGTTCGTCTTCAATTCGGTTTTCCTGGAGTCGTTTGAATGTGTCTGGAGAAAGAAGGTGGAGTGATTTGTTTTGTTAATTTGTAAATGCCATATTCCACACGCGCATATATATGAAACACACACACACACACACACACACACACACACACACACACACACACACACACACACACACACACACACACACACACACACACACACACACACACACACACACACACACACACACACCATGAGGACAAAAAGAAAACAGTGATTCCCGAATGCAAAAATACAAATCATGTTCAGTGAAAAAATAAAATTGCAG